TATGTGGCCACAGTACCTACTCCAAACACCACCGAACTTGTGCTTGTACGTAAGTCACTAATAATGTATACTTATAGTCGGTGTTTTTTGAAGACGGATTAAAATGACAGTTCATTACGCAACAGTGTTGCCCGCTGGTGAGGAGCTAGTGATTGCAGTCGATAAATATTCTATCGACTAAATATTGGTCACGCTTAAGGAGAAATAGCCGAATTTGTTTCATTTGAATCATCCTCGACCCATTATTTATCCAATTGCTGACAACAAGTTTTTTTTTTTTTGAATTGTCAATTTTTGTAAGTTCATACATACATACATAAAATGTATTTATAACTGTTTGTGAAAAATACGAAGAGGAGACATATTTTAAAGTTATTCATTTTTATTCAATATACATAGGGCGCACTAGAAGTTTCCGGAACGGGCCACTTACATAAACAATATTGAAAACGTAATTACAGCATTTGAAAATAAAACACTTTGGCTGTAGAATACAGTTGTTTTATCTGACTGTCACTTGTTTTTACATTGTGTGGTCATTTTAGAAATTGGTTGTCTATATTACCATGGATTTAACTCGTGAAAATTTTTGTAGCATGATTTTCTACGACTTTAAGTGTAATTTAACAGCTCAGCGGAGCTTCGCTCAGCTTCAAACTGCTTTTTGCGATGAAGCACCATGCAAGACGACTATTTATAGCTGGTTTGCAGAATTCAAATGCGGTCGTGTGAATCTCAGTGACGAATTTCGTGATGGTCGCCCGTCCACTGCTGTGAACAACAAAAACATCGATGCGGCGCACACGCCGTATGATCAGAACAAACAGGCATGTGACATACCATGAAATTCGGGCATCTTTAGGCATAGGAGGCATGAGTGAAATACAATCAATACTACACAAACATTGGGATGTGAAAAAGCTGTGCTCTCTGTGGATCCCACAAAATTTGACTAAGGCTCAAAAAACGGATGGCGTCATTTGATGCAATACCATGCTTACCCGATTCAACGAATGGGCGTCAATCGTTTAGTGTGAGATATAGTAACAGATAACGAAATATGGATTTATAGTTACGATCCCAAAACAAAGCAGCAATCGAGCGTATGGGTCTTTCGAGATGAGCCGAAACGCTACATAATGTTTTACAGATTATCTTATACTACAATATGAATTTTAGACACACACACATAGATACCCACAAATTACACCCTAAGTCACGAGAGAAATAAATTAGGCCCTACAAATATTTCTCTCGGCCCGGAAATCGAACCTGGGACCTCTGCGTGGCAGTGCACGGAGGCAGTTTATGACTATGGCAGACTATGACCAGGTACTGTTTCAAAATAAGTTCAAGGGTAAAAAAATAGCACCTAGATTTCCCCTCAACGAATAACCTTCCCATCCTAACAAGCGAATGTAGTCTTCCACTACTACAGCCTATTTGAAGCGAACGAGGGTCGCTTCCGTATCACGGAATTTCCCGTTGGATATACCTAAGTGTGGCGCTCGTATCACGAACCGCCCTGTAATGTATGAGTTACATGTTTCCTGCAATAAACGCTATTATTGTCGTAACGACGATGTACCCTTCACCGCTAACCTCGTTACAATATTATATACAGAATTACAGATGTATGTACAAGGGTGCAAATGGGAGATTAGAATGTTAGACGTGCAATAAAATTGTGGTCTTGAGATAATGTCAGTAAAGGATCCCTTCATTCTTGGGCCCAACTATGTACCGCGGCACAACTTATGTCAAAAAATTTCTGAAATTATGTAGGGAAGTATCCATACTGAAATCTTTTTAATTTTTGTAGAAATTACTGAAAAAAATAATTTCAAATTTTTTTTATAATATCAAATGACATGAATGATGAATGATGTAAGCTACACAAGCGACACTTTTGGTTATATTGAGTTAAATATACCGCTGGAATCAGCTAATGTTTCCAATTACAACGGTATACGAGGATTATGCTTAAAGAAATTAGATTTTCAAAAATTATAAAATTTATTCTTTATTACAGATATCGATTATTTCAAAATATTCCCCATGAACACGTATACACTTTTCCATTCGTCTAAACCACTTGGAAAATATCGATGACCACTCTTCTTTAGACATCTCAGAAATCTCCAACTTATAAGCAGCCATGACATCTTCTTTGCTTTCAAACCGCTTGCCTTTTAATATTTCTTTAATTTTTGGAAAGAGGTTAAAATCACAAGGTAAAAATCGCTAGGTCAAGGAAATATGGCGGGTGAGGCAGGATAGACACGTTTTTGTAATGAAAATAGTAGATTTTTGTAGCAGAAGTGTGGAGCGTCGTTGTCGTGACGTCAGAGGAGGTGCCGGATTGTGACTTCGGCTGCTTGTAACACCAAGCTGACAAGACTTTTGGGGCACAAACTGTTATATACCATTCGGAGTTAACTGTCCTTTGATCCTCTAGCACTACAGTAGCAATGTGTCCTGTCATGCAGAAAAATGAGGCGACCATTTGTTTCTGTGTGTTTCGCGTACGACGACATTTCGTTGACGTCGGCTCATCTTCAAACCATCATACAATGGACTGTCGCTTTGTTTCAGGATCATAGTTACGGTTACGAGTATACAACCTTAGAATAATAACGCATAGAATGATAGTTTCATATCAAACGAACTCTCACAAGTGAGGCAAAAATCAAATTCATGTAGGCTAGTTTTAGTAGTAGGTTAATTTTCGGTTTTAGTGAATATTTATATAAAAATATAAGTTGAAACGCGTTACTTCCTTGTGGAATGTGATGTTAGTATGTACTTTATGTTTGTCTGACGTATTTTTACACTCATTTACCGCACATTTCGTCATTTTTAGCTAAAATTCTTGATCTGTTCGCGGTGCAAGTTGACCTTGAGCACTGAAGGCCCGCCCGCTCGTGTAGGCCCTTTTGGCGCGCTTTAATTTGCCTCACTTAGCGTGTGCGGACTAGGTTTCTATGCGTTATTATTCTAAGTATATAACCATGTTTCGTTACCTGTCAGTATATCATAAACGTTTTTTTTCTCGCCAGAGTCGAATTTATCTATCATAAATTTGCACCAGTCCACGCGACGTTCTTTCTGCTCATCGTTAAATTTGTGCGGAATCCATCTCGAGCAACGCTTACGGAGGGACAGTTGCCCCTGAATAATAGTTTGCAATGCTGGTGATCTAATACCCAGTTCTTGCTCAAGCTCTACATATGTGTTCGTCGGTTATCACGAATTACTTTTTCGACAGCTTGAACGTTTTCTTGAGTAACCGTGACTGGCGGCCGACCTCACTTCGCCTCATCTTCAAAGCTTCCCTGTCCTCTTTTAAATTCAGCAAACTAATTGAAAACTGTAGCTCATAAACAAGCAGTATCACCAAAAGTTGTGGCTAAAAGTTCAAAACATTCTTACGGATTTAAACCTTTTATCTAGTCATAATAAATCATAACACGAAAATCACGTCGAGAGAGCTCCATCGTTGCGAACAAAATTCCCGCAGATTGTCTCCGAGAAATAAAAAAATAAAGAAAAGAATTTGATTTAAGACGTGTTCCATTTTCAAATTTATTTGCAAATAACTTGACTTTACGACGGTGTATAACTAGCCAGTATGAACAAGTGATTAAAGAGTATCTAAGTTCTTTTGGTATGGCCCTCGTATATAACTCAATAATAACCCAACAGTATCGCTTATCCCATTTTGCCTTTCAAGTGTTGTTAAGTTTTTATCGAATGTTAGAATATTTCACAACCATGATTATTCAATTATTTTTTTGTGAAATTAACTAGTTTGTTGTAATTGTTAACTAATATTTCTCCTATGGTTAAATCATTAAAAAGTTTCAATTTGTAGAATTTTTAAATCTCGCTCATGATAAATTGTCATTTTGCAAATGCCATTACAAAATTATTGCGAAATTGATATTGATATAATAATAATAATAATCTTTATTTTACTCTTACAAGGGTACAAAGTTTTTACAATGTAATTTACATGAAAATGCTTAAATAACAGGGTACCTTTGCAAGAGACTGGAGTCTATACTAGGAACTAACCTGTGTGACAGATCTCCAGTTATATATATGTTAATAATCTTAGTACAGAGTACTAAAAAACCAACCAAGTTTGTGGAATTACATCTATTTGCCAAGTTTTATTGAAATCGGTTACCGGTAAGTGCTCGAAACCGGATTAATTCCCTAGTTTGCTACCCTTAGAGGTGGAATATTTTTTCAAATTTAAATGGGGTCAATACAGAGGTAACCACTTTCCAACAAAAAACAAATCATCAAACTCGGTTCACAAATTATGGCGTAACATACGTACGATAAAAATACAGTCGAATTGAGAACCTCCTCCTTTTTTTGAAGTTAGTTAAAAATTGAATCAAAGTTTTCTCTCTTTCAGATACACAAATACGAGGAATGTCAATACAGGCTCTGGAAACATAAATCAAAGACTAATTGTTTTAAAAAATTCTATTTTGCGTATATTATAAAAATAACATTTCTTTGTACTCAACAGCACTGCATTGTAATATCACAAAAGATAACATAATCACTTTACACTTATAATCTATTTTATCCCTGTAACATTACTTATTCATTTATAAAAAAAAAACTAAAAATAGCTAATAAGGAAGACTGCACACCGGTGAGTGGGTGTTTGAGATAAAATAGTTCTCACATCATGATGTCGCGACGACACGCAAAGCTACGACTTAGGGCGCTTTCAAATTACACGCTTATAAAGGCGCTGCAATGACTTCAGTTAGTCAGTTCACTTATTGCGACTGCACAAGTGACGCGCAGTGGCGCTGCAACTGTGCCTCTAAATATTGTATAAAAATTAGTGATGTAGCGCCACAGTGGCACCACTGCAGTTCTATAAACGTCTAATTTGAAAACACCCTATATTAATTTGTTAGCATAGCTCATAGCACAAATATCGCATTG